AGTTACAACATCACTGAAAAAAGTGACTTCTGACTGTTTTTCACACTTACCACCATTGCAGCATCCCCATCGTCACATGATCAGATGCTTGGCAATGAACTCATATTTATGACGGTTGCAGTATCCTGGGATCATGTGGTCACATTTTGCGACCTTCTGACAAGCACAGTCAATTGGGAAGCCAGATTCACTAAACAATCGTGTTACTAACTTAACAACTACAATGATTCACTTAATAACTGTGGCAGGAAAAGTTGTAAAATGGGGCAAAATTTACTTAACAAATATCTCATTTAGTAACAAAGATTTTGGACTAAATTGTGGTTGTAAGTCAAGGCCTACTTGTATGACATAGAAAACCAATTATAGTAAAACAAATCATGATTCAAAATACTGAAAGAGGTAAACCTAACCATACAGGGCATTGTTTTAGACTAAATTTGTTTCCCCCAGTCAGCCAGATAGCCACTTGTCTGAAATGGTATAGGTTCTCCTGCTCGAGCAGGGGGCTGGACTAGAAGACCTCCAAGGTCCCTTCCAGCTCTATTCTATTCTAAAGTTGTGTTTACTTTTTTCCTTGCTGCTGAAAAAGAGACAAAATGTTAGAGTGGTCTTGTAAAAAGAAGGCTTCTTTAGGCACTCTGTCTCTGCCTCCATTTTAATTCCATTCTCTCCTGGTTCCATAGAGGATAGAGGAATTTCCCCAGCATCAGTTGTGGTGACACCAAACCTGACCAGCCCACAATGGTTGAATTTTGAAGCTTTGTTTTTATGAAATGGGAAAAAAATATGATACGGTAGTGCCTCATCCTCCTTTGTGACAGCAAGAAGGGCTTTGACAATAATCATTCCCTACTGAATGGCCTAGTCCAGGGGTAGGCAACCTTGGCTCTTTTATTATTATTATTATTATTATTATTAATTTAATTTATATACCGCCCTTCTCCCGCAGGACTCAGGGCGGTGCACAGCATATTAAAACAAGTACAAATACAAAATACAAAAAATATAGACCCCTATAAAACCAAATTAAAAACCAAATATTAGAAGCTGTTATTCCTATTAAAATTATTCTTAAAATCATCCCTAA